GTCTACGCAAGAGGAGTGGGCGGTTCGCAGGGGTCCTTTAGCGTGCGTGGGGGGGAGGGGGGCGGGTCCTGGCCCCCCGGGGGGGACCCCTCCCTCTTCCCTTCCTTCTTCCCTCCTGCACCCTTCTCTACCTTCTCCTTTCCTCTTCCTCCTTCCCTCCCTCCTGCCTCCCTTCCCACTGTGGCATGGGGGGGCTGAGGACAGGGTCCCCCAAGTGGCTCCCTGGAAACACTGGTGGGGTGCAATGGAGCTCAGCCTGGACGGCCCGGGCCCCAGGAGGCACACGAGGCGGGGGGGGTGCAGTGAGGTGCCCCCTGGAGACAGGAGCAAGGGGGGACGTTCCCGATGTCCCGCGGGACCCCCAGCCCGGGTGTGTCTCCCCGCCCCTCAGGAGAGGCCAGCCTTTCCTCCTAGTGGCTTTCTTCCCGCCTCACAGAACTTTCTGGAAGGTCAGGCTCCGGGCTGTCCTTCCCGGCCCCTCCCCCCAGGTGAGGGAGCAGGGCTGGGCTTTGATGTGGCCATCTCCAGCTGGGTGTCAATGGGGCTTCTATATGTCCAGCGGGGCCCTGGACACACAGCCCGGGTGTGGGGGCCTCTGTGGGCAGCGGGGGCTCCCAGGAATGCCCTCCCAGCCTGGGGTGCTGTGGGCAGGCAGGGTGGTCCGGGAGACGGGCGTGTGCACGGCGCCCTCAGAAGCCGCCATCAAAGCGGCTGGGCCGCCGTGGCACCGGGAGCGGGGCAGCCACGGCGTCCAGGGCTGCGGGCGTCCAGGGCTGCGGGCGGCGGGCGCGCACCTGAGCCTGGGCAGGGCGTGGGGGGGGGGGCTGGAATCTGGAAGGTCCCCTGGTGCTGGCCACCGGCCAGGGCCCGGGGGAGGGCTCCGGGCTGCTGCCCCTTCCTCCCAGGCAGCCTCTTCTCCGTCTGGGTCTGTTTCCCCAGCCTCCCAGGTGTCCGCGCGGGGGGGGGGGGGGGGGGGGGGGTCAAGGGCCTGGACCGCAGCTGCCCTCCCGCAGGCTCCCCTGGGACACGCCCGCCCCTCGCTGCCGCAGTGGGAGTTGCTCAGCAGTGAATGAATGGACAAAAAAAAAAAAAATCTGGTGCATAGAAACACCATGGAATAGTATACAGCCATGAAGAAAAAAAAAGGTGTGTTATTTTCAGGAAAATGGATGGAATGGGAGAAGCCCAGAAAGTTGAATATCATGTGCTTTTACTCCTAGGTAGAAGCCAGGCCCCCAAGACACATATTTACAGATGTGCCCGTCTGTATAAAGCCCCGTGTGCAGCAATGTGCGGAGGGGCGCACAGAACAGGCTTCCAACTGTGGGACTGGGGGGGGGGGGGGGAAGGGAGGGGGGATTTCCAAACCGACTGCACCTCTATGTGAAGATGGCTCAGGGGATGTCCCTGGAACTCATTGACCACTGGGGATGGGGAAGGAGAGAGCAAGCCCTGAGAGCGGGTGATTCCGAGCAGAGTTTGATACGTGAGTCTGGAATACCAAAGTGAAGCCCCTCAGTGCAGTTAACACCCTTTAAACAATGACCAGCACGTAAAGCAGGCGTTGTTTAAGTTTGGGCCCCAGTGGGAGGAAGAGGGTGAACGGGAAGGGTCCAGGCCGGTGGCTCACGCCTGTCATCCTAGCTACTCAGGAGGCTGCGACCTGAGGATCGCAGTTCAAAGCCAGCCCGGGCAGGAAGCCCGTGAGACTCCTATCTCCAATGAATCGCTGAAAAGCCGGAAGTGGCGCTGTGGCTCAAGGTGGTAGAGCGCTCGTTTTGAGCACAAAAAGCTCAGGGATGGTGCCCAGGCCCTGAGTTCAAGCACACACAAAAGGAGGGGGGGGGTGTGGAATGAGGAGAGGGCCAGAGCAGGTGCGGCGCTGCGTGCGTGCGTGTGGAAAGATCACGATAAAACTCCCCACGCCCCCACGGGAAGACACTGGGCATCACTAGCTGGCGGGTAAGCGCCGCCACACACACCCCCGCACACACAAGGAGAGGGTGGCACACCCCTGCACGCACGAGGACCGCGACAAGTCCAATGACAGACACGCGTGTGCGTGAACTCACAAGCCCGGCACCGGGGCTCCTGAGGGCCGCCGCTCTGAGCCTGCGTGGGTTCCTTGGTCTCTTGGTCGCCCCATGAGATCCGACAGATGAGGAAACTGAGTCACAGAGCGGCCGCCCCCCCCCCCCAAGCTAGCTAGGAAGAGCCCAGTCCACATTTCACCTGGGAATGCGGTGCCCCTCCAGATCTCAAGATGACAAAGTTGAGAAACAAACACCTCTTCCTCCCCTCACCCCCCCCCCCGCCCCGGGCTCCCCTCAATCCTGAGTGGGGAGTGTGGATGCCGCTGTGCCCTCCTCTCTGGGGTCCTCTTTACCCTCTGCTATAAAGAGGGGGTGGGACATGGCCCAGCTGCCAGAAGGTTCTGCCCAAGTCCTGACTCTCCACCAGGCCGAAGACACCCCCCTTCCCCTGTGGGTCTAGGGGGACCCCAAGATGGCAGAGCTGGGTGACAGCACAGGGGGCTCTCTCTGGAAGCAGGGTAGGGGACACAGGGATAGGCCTCGGGGAAGAATGTGGATCCCAACTCCCTCCTTTCCTGTACCAACGAGACAAGGGCCACCAGAGATGTCAAGTGACTCGCAGAGCATCACACAGCACTTGGGCCATAGAGGGCAGAGGACGGGGCTCCAGGCAGCAGCTCCCAAGCCTGCCATCAGAATCACTCTGGGGAGAGGTTTCAAAAGCTCAGACCCCGGATGTAAGCTTTGGGGGTGGTGAGATCTGCTGAGCTCACCTGGCTGGGGGTCTGGGGTGCGGCAGCATTTGGGGGAGGCAGGCAGAGGGAGGGGAGCGGGTGGAGGATAGAAGGCCCTTTCTCTCTACCAGGTGCCGCGGCTCAGGCCTGTAATCCCAGCTACTTGGGGGATGGAGACTGGGGAAAGATCACCAAGGCCGGCCTTGGGTAAAAAGCACACCGTCCTTGCAGTGAAATAGTAATTAAAGCCAACAGGGCCTGGAGGTGTGGCTCGGGTGGTAGAGCCCCTGTGAAGCCAGCTAGCACCCCAAGGCCCTGAATTCAAACCTCCCAATACCGCCGAACCCAACCCAAACCCAACCAAAACAACCACAGGGACGCGCGCAATCCCACCAGGAAAGCGGCAAGGGCCCAGGAGTCTTGGGGTTCTCGACTCGTGGAGAAATTGGGGGGCGGGGGTCCACGAACTCGGGCTGGAAATAATGAGGTCTTCCCTTTCGTCAGTTCTAACCGCAACACGCCTCTCTTTCCGTGTGTCTGCCTAGGGGAAACGGCAGGTAACTAACTTTTCAGGGCGGGACAGTGGGCAGCCCTCAGCCTGCAGCACGACGCGCCCTGGGCTCCCCCGCCTGTCCTTGGCTTCTGGCCGCATCGCCAGGATGGCCGCCCAGTCTGAAGCGCAGCTGCTTTTGGACTTGGCTGACAGCAGTCGGTACCTGCGGCCCACGGGCGTCCTTGGCCCTCTCCCCGTGCCCCCTGCACCCCAGAGGCCGCCTCCCCGCTCCAAACCAACTCAGCAGCGCCAGCCCAGGCTCCCAGGCCTCCTTTGTTTGAAACCCTGCATTTCTCCATCTTGCTCACCGAGAGAGAATGCAGATTACAAAGGGCCAGCAAATGGTTTTTATAAACTCTTATTTTCTTGCCGCAGCCCTGCCTTTAATTAGCTCTAAGGACGACCAGGGCACCGGGTAAGAATGGCAGGAGGGATGGGGCGGGGGGGGGGGGGGGGGGCTGGGGCTGCGGCTTGTCAGCGGCCACTGCCAGGTTTGGGGGTGGGGAGTGGGGGGGTTGGGAGTCCTCCACGCCACCTCCCTACCGCGGCCTGACCAAAGCGGGCTCTCAGGCCAGCCTCAGCTGAGCCTATACAGACAATGCCCAACCTGCCCTGGGTCAATGGCAGCCCGGAGCCAGTGGCAGGGCAGACAGACAGACAGGCTGACAGGCTCCTGACAGACAAGACTCAAGACCAAGACTCAAAAGTCATCTTCCCCAGCCCCCTGCCCCCACCAAGCCCTGGGGTTCTAGATCTTCCTTAGCACCCCATCCCTCCCCTCCCCCTTCTAGTGGAGAAACTGGTCCCTGGAAGAACCGGAGCTGCTGGCCGTGTGCACAGCCTGCCTCCAGCCTCAGACAATCGCAACAGCACAGCCAGCACCGCTCTCTTGGGAGCACAGAGAGGTGACGCAACCCACGTCGGGTCACACAGCAAGGTTGGAACAACTCTAGATCCCCAATCTCAGAAGGAAGAAGGCAGCGGAGGAGGGAGGGCCTGAGGCTGAGGAACGGCCCCCCTGAGGGCCACGGAGAGACAGGAGTCCCCCCTTCAGTGAGAGGCCTTCCACGAGGACCCCCATACCCATCCTTGCTGAGGGACACAACCCAGAACTCTGGGTCCCTCCAAGGCCGCGAAGAGACAAAATCAGCCACCCCCAAAACACTCAGGTCCCCGGCCCCCGAGCCCAGGGGTCTTTCCCAAACCCACCGTCCTCCCCCTCAGCCTCCATGTGGGCGCAGCCTGCAGCCGTGAGCCCCCATGCCCAGGCTCCCCTCTCCTCACTGGCTGCCACTCCCCAAAGATCGCCCAGCAGAGCCAGGACCTCGCAGAGATCCGAGCCGGAGGTCCAGCCTCGGCCCGCCTGCCTCCCTGCGCCATCCCAAGTCTCAGCCCCAGATCTGCCTGCACCCAAGTGGTCGAGTCCGAGGTTCAAGGCAGGAAACAGAGGGGACCCCACTGGTCCTGGCCCCCCAGGGCCCTCTGAGCTCCAGCGAGAAAGTGCCACATCAAGAGACCACGGAGGCGGCCAGCCCTCCTCCCCGAGGCTGCCGGAGGCCGGCGGGCAGCCGGGGTCGGCGGGGGAGGCGGCTGGACGGGGTGGGGGGTGGTCGGGGGGCCTCTTGGCCACAGCTCCCACCCCAAAGGGCCGCCCGGGGGGGGGGGGTACCGCTTACTCACCGCGGATGAAGGTCTGGGAGTAGGACGGGAAGGAATCGAAGATGCTGTTGGAAGCCATGCCCTGCTCGGAATTCTCCAGAATTCTGGACTTCGGGGGGGTGGGGTGGGGGTTGAGGTTGACTGGGTTGGCGGCTGCTTTATGGTTGGGTCCCCCCCTTTCTTCTTTGAGCTACTTTTGAGGAGGAAAGGCGGTGGGGTGGGTGAGGAGGTGCTGGGGGGTTGGTTTGGCCTCTTTTTTTTTCTCCCCCCCTTGCTGCTACCAAAAATGAAAAGAAAAGAAAGGGAAAAAAGGCAAGAAGGCGAGAATGTCAGAAGGGTAAAAAAAATCCCCAAGGAAAGTAAGTTGCTGTTTGTACCCAAGAATCTGCCTCTCCGGTCCCGCAGGAATGTCTAGCCACAAGTTTTCAACAGGAGCCCAGGCCGAGTGTATCATTAGAGGACGGGAAGGGGCTCGGGAGGCCGGGCTGGAGGAGCCGGAGGCCTGGGCAGTGAGGCTGGCCAACCCTCCCACTGGGCACCCACTGACCGACCGACCGATCGGTGGTGTGGGAATGAATGAATGAATGAACGAGACTCACCCTCTCTCCCCTGGGGGGGGGCAAGGCTGCAGCCAGAGGGCGGCCAGGGGGTGGGGACGCCCGGGACCAACCAGCTCCTCGCAGGGCCCCGGTGGGGGGGGGGGGGGCGAGGCCCTGGCCTTGTGGTTGTGTGGTTGAGGGAGCCGACCTGCTCAGTGCCAAGCCAGCCCCAGGCCCAGCCCGCCGCCCGCGCCCATTGGCTGGGCTGCTGTCACCTGGTGTGAGGTCACGGATCTTAGACTTGTGGCTGCCTCGTTCTCTTTTTTTTTGGTTTTGAAAGGAAGAGGAGGAGGAAGATGGCTTTTGCTGGCCCTGCGGGTCCCTCTCCAGGCGCCTGAGGCCTGGTCCACCAGCGGGCAGATGGTTTCTCGCCCTAGCAGCTGCGGCGGCCACCCTCTCTCCGCCTCCTCCAAGGCTGCCAGGGAGAGGCGTCCTCCTGTGTGGCAGGGTGGCACTTCAGGGGCTTTTATGGGAGCTGGGATTACGTGCAAATGGGAAACACATGAAGTGGCCTGGGCCTGCCCCTGGGGACAGGCCTGTCCCGGGATTGCTGGTGGCGTGGCGGTGCGGTACCACAGGCCCCCCCCCCCCCCCCCCCCCGTGGAGCTGGGGTTCTGCTGTCTAAGCTTGCTGCCCTTCAAAGCCCAGTTCCCATCTGGCTCACCTGAGCCTCCTCTTAGTAGGGGAGGGGCGGGGGGGGGGATGGTTCTCTGAGCTCTCTGCCTCAGGGCCTTTGCTCATGCTGCTCTTCCATCCCATAGAGCCCTTCCCATCCCAGGGAAGGATTGGAGGCCCAGAGCGACTCAAAGTACAGAAAGATGACCCGACCCCACATTTCTGTTCCCACGCGCCAGGTCTGCCCTAATGGTGGCACAGGCTGGTGGTGGGGACGTGGCCTTTGCCATTTCCCTGGTAAACTTGACCGTTGCGTGTCACAGGCCAGCCCTCTGGGGCCCCAGAGGGGAGGAGCCTGTACACCCGCTGTCACACATGGTGTCCTGACATGGGATCAGAACTTCCGCCACCCCAGGCCTCCGCTCTGACCCCATGATGCCCTCTGTTGAGAGGTAGAACAGAGAACGACACAAGAGGAAAGAGCCCCCATTCTCTAGTCCCAGGGCTTGAACTCAGGGCCTGGGCCTCTTGGCACTCAAGGTGAGTGTGCTCCCGTTTAAGCCACAGCGCCACCTCCAGCTTTTTCATTTTACTGAAGATAAGAGTCTCACAGGCTTTCCTGACAGGCTGGCTTTGAGCCGTGATCCTCAGATCTCAGCCTCCTGAGTAGCTAGGATTACAGGCGTGAGCCACCGGAGCCGGGCGCCACCTCCAGTTTCTAACATCCTGCCAGACTAGGGTCTCCACACCCACGGGCGCCCTCCCCACCCGGATCCTATAACTTGCTCACTCTGAGGGCCTCCCCCTCCCCAGAAGCTGAGTCCGGGCCTGGCACAGGGGACGTGGGGAGCCCCAGGGACTGAGCTGAGCCCCGCTGGGTGGGCAAACTGGACACCAGGTAGCCCAGTGCATTCTGGGGAAATGAGCAAGTGTGCACCGAGTACTTGGCTTAGTCTTTGCCCTGGAGGGATTAAAATCCTCAGGCTCCCTCCTAAGACTGTGCTAGACTTCAAACAAAGCCCTGGACACTACCTGGGAAAGCAGGAAGAAGGTGGAGGCTGGAACCAGCCATACCGGAAGCCTGATTTTGGCTTTATGGAGCTACAAAACTGTGGGGGAAGAGGCTTTACTTTTCTGGCCCTCAGTTTCCCTAACTGAGAAATGCAGCCAGTTGCAGTACTTACCTCCAGAATTGTGAAGAGGATTAAGTAGAAACAATTGCTAGTATACTTAGCTCTCTGTAGGTGCTCAATTTTTTTTTTTTTTTTTTTTTTGTCGTGGGGCCTGGGCGCTGTCCCTCAGCTCTTCAGCTCAAGGCAAGCGCTCTACCACTTGAGCCACAGCTCCACTTCCAGTCTTTTGATGATTTATGGGAGAGAAGAGGCTTACACTTTCCTGGATGGCTTTGAACCATGATCCTCAGATCTCAGCCTCTTGAGTAGCTAGGATCACAGGGGTGAGCCACCAGCACCCGGCTCAATGCTCATTTTTTTTCTTTTCTTTTGGTGGGGCTCCCTTTCTTTCAACTTCCCACGATGTATCTTCTAGGCTACATGGTCAATTAAATCTCCTCTTAAAGTCATCTTAGAAAAATAAGTTCAGTTTAATAAAACATTTTTTTTTGAAGAAGAGAATCATTAACTGGCTGTTACTATGTAGTGAAGTCTGTCCTTGAAGATTCTCCTACCACAACCTCCCGAGTGCTGGGATTACAGGCGAGAGCTACTGGGCTCAGCTAAGAAAAAACATCCTCAGCCTTTTATTCTAACTTCAATTACAAACAGCTAAGAAGGACTCTCTCTTAGTGTCCAGTTTGGGTGTCTTTAAAGGTGACCTTGGAGGCAAAGGTGGCAGTGAAGCCACCCACATACGTGGCTTCTAGATTGTTCTATTTTCCCCTTATCTTTTCCAACCTCCCTCCTCCCAAGTGCAGCATCTTGTTCGCAGCTCTCCCCCACCCCCAGTGATCCTTGTTTTTTTCCTAACAATGGAGCCGAAGTCCAGTGAGGGAGGTGAGTCCAGAGATTACTGGTGCCACATGGGTGACGGGGGGGAGGGGCCTCAGGAGCCCCCCAAAGCCGGGAGGAGCCCCCAGCTGAGCTCCGGCAGGAAGCCGCTGTCCCCTTTTGGGGGAGCGCATGGAGAACTGTTTCGCCAGGGTCCACCGAGGAAGGCGGGCTGTGGTGGCCCCTCTGGCTCTTGCTGAAGCCATCTGAGACACAGAACAGAGGATGGAGAGCGGAGGATGCAGAACTGAGGATGCAAAACTGAGGATGGAGATGGCCCCTTGTCCTTTGCTCTCTCCTTCCCCCAGCTCTCTCCACCTCGGGGAAAGGCCTACCCTCCCTCCACCCCAGAGCACAACTGGTGACCTCGAGGGACAGCAATGGGCAATCGTGTCACCTCGCACGGGCGTGGCCTCATGGCTGGCGACGTGTCAAATGAACATTGGGAAATCTCCCCAGGACTGCCACCTGCACATGGGGCAGAGTCCCCAGACGCGCCGTGCGGTGTGTGATACCTGCTGGAGGCTGGCCTGGGGTTCACCCTTAGGAGCAGGGGCAGAGGAGCCAAGATCCCCCATGCCAGCAGACCTGCCAGCCCCCCTCCCTGCAGGATGGCAGCGCAGGACCAGGACACCAGGCCAGGCCAAGGCCACGCGCTGAGGGCCTGCCGTGGGCAGAGGCACGTGCACACAGAGCTTTCACAAAGCTTCTCAGAGAAGGGCTCTCAGGACAGTACCCTGTGCAAGGCACGTGTCCTGACTTCCTTCCTAACTTCCTTCCTTCCTTCCTTCCTTTCTTTATTGTAGGGCTTGAACTCAGGGCCTGGGCACTGTCTCCGAGCCTCTTTGGGCTCAAGCCTAGTGCTCGGCCACTAGAGCCACAGTGCCACTTCCAGTTTTTGAGTGGTTAATTGGAGATAAAAGTCTCACGGGGACTTTTCTGCCCAGGCTGGCTTTGAACTACAATCCTCAGATCTCACCCTTATGAGTAGCTAGGATTACAGGTGTGAGCCACTAGTGCCTGGTTCCTTCCTTTCTCTTCCTTCCTTCTTTCCTTCCTTCCTTCCTTCCTGCTTGCCTGCCTGCCTGCCTGCCTGCCTGCCTTCCTGCCTTCCTTCCTTCCTTCCTTCCTTCCTTCCTTCCTTCCTTCCTTCCTTCCTTCCTGCCTGCCTTCCTTCCTTCCTTCCTTCCTTCCTTCCTTCCTTCCTTCCTTCCTTCCTTTCCTTCCTTCCTTTCTTTCCTTCCTTCCTTCCTTCCTTCCTTCCTTCCTTTCCTTCCTTCCTTTCTTTCCTTCCTTCCTTCCTTGCCTTCCTGCCTTCCTTCCTTCTTGCCTGCCTGCCTTCCTGCCTGCCTTCCTTCCTTCCTAGTACTGGGTTGAATTCAGGGCCGGCACAGTGAGTCTTACCTCCAATGAACCAGCAAAAAGCCAGAAATGGAGCTGTGGCTCAAATAATAAAATGCTAGAGGAGTAAGCTCAGGGACAGTGCCCAGGCCCTGAGTTCAAGGCTGCATGCATGCATGCATGTGCGCATGCATGCGCGCGCACACACACACACACACACACACACACACTTGGTCTGAGTGTGCCACCCCTCCCACCTTCCCTTCTGAGCATAATGGCCCCTTTGGCAGGGCGGGCCGGCCAGCAAATTTGCTGAGGCAGACAGAAGGAAGGGGCTGTCATTACGTGGTTGGGAAATGGTGGGGCATTTCCATGCCACGATCCGGCGTCCCAGGAATCTCAGAGGCCTTCCAGGAAATGAGAGGATCGGCTTCCAGCCAGAACTGTGGCCGCCCAGGAGAATGCTGGGGGGGGGGGGGGCGGGGAGGAGAGGGGCTGCCCTGGGGAGGGGGTAGCCTGGTGGGGGTGGGAGCCTAT